CGAAGCCGCACCTGCGAGGATACGTCCGCAGGTGCAGTCAACGGGCTTCAGACCTAGGCAGACTTGGAAATTCACTTCTCCTCAATTCCAAACCAACAAATACACGACCTAGCAGATCTTTTGCACATCTTTGGCTTAATTTTCAGTCTTTAGACTAGTGATAACAAGTTTTGGAGCTAGGGTTCTTGCACACACACTTGGGTCTTGAAGATTTGAAGCTTTTGGTTGAGAATTTCTTACTTATTTATGCTCATTTCTTCATTTCCTTGCTTTGTATTGTATATCTAAGTGTGTAGTATTTATTTCAACACTTGAATCTTGTTTATGAAAATATTCATGTTTAACGTGTGGATTAAATATCTTGTGGTGCTTATGTATTGAACGATTTTTATTTATAATGAAGTGAGTTATTATTTCTTTAACTATTCTTGTTCTTTAATGTTTCCAAAGGGATAAGCTAACCCTAGGACTCGCCCATTAACTTCGAATTAATTTTGGGAAAGATTATTTGGGTTAGGAAAGATTAATCAACAAGAACTTGAGGCTTTAAACCTTACTTTATAGATTCTACCTAGGGATAAGATTGAACTACTTGTAGCCACAATCGGGTGTGCTTAATCTCTTAATTGTTTTAGGAATAATTCAATTAGGAAGTCTTGTTAGTCTTCGGAAGAAGCTAATATAGAATTATTACCCGAGGCTAATTAGCATAAACTCGCTCATATTTGTAAAATCGTAAAATACATTGGATCGTTACTTGAGTGTAATTCTCCGCGTATCCATACTTGTAGCCATTGATCATTTTACTTGCTTTCTAGGTTAGTTTACATTTTCGCATTTAGCTATAATATTTTCACAATCACCTTTCTTAGTGTTTGGCATTGCATAACAAGTGATAATTCTCTTACACTCCTAATCGCCTACATATTGTTCTTTGTGGGATTCGACCCCGACTCATAGTTGGGTAAATTATATTGCATGCGACCGTGTCCATTTACTTTTTAGTAGTGGATTTGGACGTCATTATTGGCTCCATTGCCGGGTAATAATTTGGCGTATTTAGGTTGTTTGAGAAATAAGCGTAAGTGCTTTGGTCCAAACTTGTGAATATTTATGTAATTATCTTTCCAACCTTGGTCTATCTTTCTTGTTTGATTCTTGTTTATTTTCTTAGTTATAAAAACAAAAAAATGGCATCATATAATGAAAATTGGTCGGATGGTAGTTGTTCATACTTTGATGACCCTTGTCCTTATTGTGGAGGACCACACTCATGGCAAAATTGTTTAAATTCTCCCGAGGGATTGTGCGCACAATCTCAAACCCATGAGTGGAGTATTTGTGATAAGTGTGGTCGTCAAAAAGGTCAGTGGGATAATTGTGCTTATTTGTCCTTCCCTTCCCCAAGCCCCCTCTATGATGATTCTACTTTTTGTGATGAAAATGATAGGGATATGGAAGTGGAAGAATTTGAGCATGGTCAAAATGGAGAGTTCAAGCTCATGCTAGAATGCCTACTTGAAGGAGGAAAGAAAGAGGAAAGTTCCTTGGAGGATCTTTTGGAAATTGTCTTCAAAATGACTTGGCGCTTGAAAGGTTGAACTCGCAAATGGAAGAAATGCTTGAAGCTTTAGAGGTACAAAAAGCCTTGAAAGTGAATGATAGCCAAGAACCTTCCTTAGAGATGAAGCCGAAAATCCTTCCTTGGCACTTGATCAAAACCAATAAGAACTCTCAAATGCTCAAAATGAGAAAATGATGCTCATGTTGGAGGTCATTCTTGAAAATGAGGAGAAGCAAAGCTTGGCACTCGAGGACTTGAAACAAGGCTTGACTCAAAATGATGAGCATATCCTCACTTTGGAAGATCGAATGAAAATATTGATTGAGGCTCACTATGCCCACCAACTTGAGAGTGTGGAAAGAAGTCAAGAAGAGTCCGACTACGAGGAAGAAAGTGAGCTTTACTTTGAGGAATCAAGAATTGAATATCCGCCAACCGACTTCATGAGTGTTAGTGATTCCAAGAAAAATATGGAATTAGAGTCAACCGGTGTAAATAAAAATATGGTCGAGATTGACTCTAGTCCGGGGGAAAAAGAGGGTGTAAAAATCCAGAAAGAATTGAAATTTGGAGGTTTGATGTCACATTCCAAGCATTTTTCAACATTGGAATTGTGTGGTGATATGGGAATTGAACTACACGAGTCAATGAGGGATTGCGAGGAGGAAAGACAAAGGCCATACATTTTACAATTTGAGGGAACAAGAAGGCAAAATGACATTCCTCACATGAAAACCAAGAAATGCAAAATGAAGAACTTAATGCTTGGTTTGATCATCTACTTACTACCCCCCACCGCTCGTGGTCACAAGCTTGGTTCCAAGTTGGGTGCCCAATTCATATCGTCCAAGTGGCGAGAAAAGTAGTAAAGTTGATCTGCGTCGTGCCACAACGTTAAATGTGGTGCTTGGTGGGAGGCAACTCATCGTTTTCAAAAAATTTGGTCATTTTTTGAAATTTTCTTTTTTGGAATAGTTTATTATGTTATTTTTGACTAATCTGCAATAAAATTCTGGCAGAAGCGGCTTCGCAGAAGCGCTTCTTTAACCGCAGGTGAGAAAAATCAGGCAAATTTAATCAACTAAGCCTTCATTTCATCAGGTATACTCTAACCTTTTTTCCCCAAACTCAAACTCCTCCATCTCTCACATACTCAAATTCTCCATTGCTCTTGATTTATATTGCTTTTGCACAAGACAATCAGGTACTCATCACCACTCTCTCTCTCTCAGCTACTTTATTTTTAATTTTCTACTTCTTCTTCTTCTTCTTCTTCTTCTTCTTCTACACAGTCTTCCCTCTCCCACAGTCCCATTTTCTTTTCCCACTCTTGATTAGCATTGACATTAGGGTGAGGAAATTGGTTGAGACTATGTAGTGTGTGCTGTTGATTGTTGAGTCGCACCTGCGAGGATACGTCCGCAGGTGCGGTCAATGGGCTTCAGACCTGGGTAGACTTGGAAATTCACTTCTCCTCAATTCCAAACCCATAAATACACGACCTAGCAGATCTTTTGCACATCTTTGGCTTAATTTTCAGTCTTTAAACTAGAGAGAACAAGTTTTGGAGCTACGGTTCTTGCACACACACACTTGGGTCTTGAAGAATTCAAGCTTTTGGTTGAGAATTTCTAACCCATTTATGCCCATTTCTTCATTTTCTTGCTTTGTATTGTATCTAATTGTGTAGTGTTTATTTCAACATTTGAATCTTGTTTGTGGAAATATTCATATTTAAAGTGTGGATTAAATATCTTGTTGCGATTATGCATTGAACGATTTTTATTTATAATGAAGTGAGTTATTATTTCTTTAATTATTCTTGTTCTTTAATGTTTCCAAAGGGATTAGCTAACTCTAGGAATTGCCCATTAACTTCGAATTAATTTTGGGAAAGATTATTTGGGGTTGGAAAAGATTAATTAACAAGAACTTTAGGCTTTAACCCCCACTTTATAGACTCTACCTAGGGATAGGATTGAACTACTTGTATCCACAATCGGGTGTGCTTAATCTCTTAATTTTTTAGGGATAATTCAATTAGGAAGTCTTGTTATTCTTCGGAAGAAGCTAATATAGACTTATTACCCGAGGCTAATTAACATATACTCGCTCATCTTTGTAAAATCGTGAAATACATTGAATCCCTACTTGAGTGTAATTCCCTGTGTATCCATACTTGTAGCCATTGATCATTTTACTTGCTTTCTAGGTTAGTTTACATTTTCGCATTTAGCTATAATATTTTCACAATCACCCTTCTTAGTGTTTGGCATTGCATAACAAGTGATAATTCTCTTACACTCTCAATCGCCTTCATATTGTTCTCTTTGGGATTCGACCCCGACTCATAGTTGGGTAAATTATATTGCATGCAACCGTGTCCATTTACTTTTTAGTAGTGAATTTGGACGTCATCAGCTATGCGTCCAGTTAATCTTTGCACGGCCTTCACATTGTCCACGACTGTGATATCTTCGATGGCTTTGATTTTGTCGGGGTTAGTCTCGATTCCTCAGTTGGATACCATGAACCCGGGGAATTTACCTGATCCGACTCCGAACGCGCATTTCTCTGGGTTCAGCTTTATATTGTATTTCTTCAAATGCTGAAGGTCTCCTGCAAATTTTTTAAATGGAACTCTATTCATATGGACTTAACCAACTTATCGTCAATGTAAACCTTCATCGATTTTCCTATTTATTCCTCAAACATCTGGTTTACTAGGCGTTGATAAATGGCACTGGTGATTTTTAATCTGAATGGCATCACGTTATAGCAGTATGTCCCGTACTTAGTGATGAAGGAGGTTTTTTCCTGATCATCCGGGTCCATCCGTATTTGATTGTACCCGGAATATGCATCGAAAAAATTGAGGATCTCGTGGCCGGCCGTGGCATCGATCATGCGATCGATGTTGGGCTGAGGGAAAGAGTCCTTGGGACACGCTTTGTTAAAATCCTTATAATCTACACACATTCTTAATACTACCACTACATTTTCTAACCAATCCGGGTACTTAACCTCCCAAATGGACCCTATTTTAAGGAGTTTAGATACCTCATCCTTGATGAAAGCATGTTTGACCTCGGACTGAGGCCTCCTCTTCTGCTTGACCGGATAAAATTTCGGTTCCAGGCTTAGCTTGTGAGTGGTTATCTCCGATGGAATCCCTGTCATATCAAGGTGGGACCAAGCAAAACAATCTATGTTAGCTATAAGAAATTGAATGAGTTTTTTTCTGAGCTCGGGTGTTAACCCGTGCCCGGGTATACCTTCCGATCAGGTAGGTGCTCGATCAATATGACCTATTCCAGCTCTTCGACAGTTGATTTAGTGGGTCATCCGGGACTATAAAAGATCGGGAGACCCCGTAATCATCGTCTTCGTCAGTCCCCTGCTTATCCGGTTGGGTCGCGGCTGGTATCGATGATTGCTACTTGGCCTCTTGCTTTGCACTCAAGCTTGTCTCCTTTGATGTTGCGAGTGTCAATATTGGAATCACTTCTTCGACTGCAAACATATCTTTTGCGGCCGGTTGTTCTCCGTAGATTGTCTTAATCCCTCCCGGCGTTGGGAATTTTAACACTTGGTGAAGAGCCAAAGGTACTACCCTCATGTTGTGGATCCATGGCCTCCCGAACAGCGCGTTGTATCCCATGTCTCCTTCGATCACATAAAACTTCGCCTCCTGGATGGTCCCAGCGGCATTGACCGGTAATGTTATCTCCCCTTTAGTGGTATCACATGCCACGTTGAACCCATTTAGAACTTGGGTTGCAGGTACGATTTGATCCGAAAGATCGAGTTGTTCCACGACTCTCAACTGGATGATGTTGGTCGAGCTACCTGGATCAATTAACACATGCTTAACTCGAGATTTATTTATGAGTACAGATATTACCAGTGCATCGTTGTGAGGCTGCATGATCCCTTCTGCATCCTCGTCGTTGAAAGACAAGGTTACTTCTGGTATGTAGTCTTGAGTCCATTTTTCCCTTGTGATGGACACCTTGGTGCGCTTCAACATCGGCCCTTGAGGGACATCGACTCCACCGATGATCATGTTAATGACGTGTTGAGGTTCTTCCGGTTTGATCTGTTTGTTAGAATCCCTGTTTCTAAAATGATTCTTGGCTCGATCACTCAGAAATTCTCGAAGGTGCCCGTTGTTGAATAACTGGGCTACTTCCTCTCTCAACTGTCGACAATCTTCCATTCTGTAGCCATGAGTGCTATGATATTTGCACATCTGGTTGGGATATATTTGGGCTGGATCAGATTCTAAAGGTCGAGGCTATTTGGTATCTTTGAGGCGTCAAATAGCTAATACGATGGCAGCCGCATCGACATTAAAGTTATATTCCGATAACTGTGGTGCTTCTTTAGGTCTGACAGGCCTGTCAAAACCGTTCTTGCTCATGAGTCCTCGAGTGCTCTGACCTCGATCACTTCTCCTTTCATTTCGCATAGAACTTCGCCCGAACCCACTACTTCTTCGATCTCCATTATATGGCTGGTATCGATTTCTGTTTGACCTCGGTTCACGATCGACATCTTTCTTGATTCTGTCGACGGGTTTGACAGGATAAACGGATCTGGAAGGAGCCCTAATTTGATCATATTCAACTTTGATCTTTGATTGATACCGGTTATGCACATCGGCCCAAGTAATAGTCGGGTACTCTATCAAATTCTGCTTCTGTTGTAAAGACACCGAGATTCGAACATTGAGTCCTTAGGTGAAAGCTTGAACGGCCCAATCATCAGCGACCAGTGGTAGATCCATTCGTTCTATTTGGAATCGGGACACGAACTCTCTGAGCATTTCATTGTCCTTCTGCCTTACTTTGAAAAGGTTCGACTTCCTGGTCTCGACCTTGATAGCCCCGGCGTGTGCCTTCACGGAAGAGTCTGTAAGCATAGCAAATGAGTCAATAGAATTAGGCAGTAAATTTGTGATACCATATCATAGCTCCCTTCGACATGGTCTCTCCGAATTTCTTCAGTAAGACAGATTCGATCTCATCATCCTCCAAGTCATTCCCTTTGATGGCACATGTGTAGGAGGTAACATGCTCGTTCGGTCAGTCATTCCATTGTATTTAGGAATCTCGGGCGTGCGGAACTTCTTAGGGATCGGCTTGGGATCGCGCTCGGAGGAAAAGGTTTTTGCACGAACTTCTTGGAGTCCAGGCCTTTCAATATCGGCGGTGCTCCTGGGATTTGATCGACCCTGGAATTGTAGGTTTCCACCTTTTTGTCGTTTGCCTTGATCTTCTTCTCTCCAGACTCAATCCGTTTTGTTAATTCCTCGAGCATCTTCATGATTATCGGATTGGTCCCCGATTCCTTCTCATTCGATCTCCTTGAGGCCGATTCAACTCTGTGAACAAATTCTTGGGATGGCTCGGGCTCAATCCTACTTGGCGGGTGGCTCTGATTCTGGAGTTGAGCTATCGCCGCCTGTTGAGCCTGTAACATTTTGAAGATTACCCGCAGGTTGATTCCATCATCCTCGCTGCCGTGTGTGCTTTGTGCGACTGATCGAACATCCCTACGGACGCTGCCTTCAAGATCGGCGAGCAGATTTGCGTTGATGGACACATGCGAGCTCACGTTGATGGGCTCTGCAGCCGAGACTTCGTCGAGATCGGTCGGGGGCACGTCGATCCTGGGAGCTATGTTATCGTTTTCGCCATGGTGGCCGAACTCATTATTAACATATAGGGGTGCTAATTGAGAGTTCGCCATTTCTTATCCTGAAATTAGAGACACTTCAAAGAACAAGTATAAAATAGTGTGTTTATGGAAATTTGTGTCAAATAACTACTATTATCCTTAGCCCCACGGTGGGCACCAAACTGTTTACGCTTAAAATCGGATAACTATTGAATTTGTAAGTGGTTTTATGGATACGTGGATTAAATTGATACAAGGCGATAAATTAAATTGTAATTAGAGTAAAGTATGATAAAATAAATTAAAACCATACGAATTAGACAGCAACAACCTTGGGAGGAGGGTCCTCCTTGAACAGGATGCACTTCAATCACAGTTGAATAAGAACTTAAAGAGAAATAACAGTATATTGCTTCTGAATGATTGTTACATGTCCTTTTACAAATAATCAGACCTCCTTTATATAGTTGGGGAGTCTTACTTTAGGTACAATTCTACAAAAGGTAAAAAATCCCATGATTTGCTAATTAGCCGGTTTTTCGTTGATACGCGCCGAGATTCCCGCATGATACCGTCCGGTTACAGATATTTCGGCCTTCTGTTATCCGATCTAACAATGTTTCCTCGAGCTCATTTGGTGTCAGGGTTGGTTCCGGGGTCATGGACTCGATGTCCTTGAAGACGGGCATTCTGACCTCGTGTCCTAGTTCGATGGAACCCGAGGTCGATCTTCAACCGTTCACGTTTCAATCCCGATCTGTTATCCATTAGATGAGCCCGATTTCGACCGTATACAATAGTAATTAATTAATCACGCAGGATGTGGACGCCAGTGTTATTTGTACATCATGCTCCTTTAAAATTTTTTATTTAAGAAAATGACATTTTTAAATCTCTTATGTGTAAAAGACAATCTCTTACGTGTAAAAGTAAATCTCTCATGTGTAAAAAAAAGAGGTAGGGTTATAAAACTAAAAATAAATGGGTAAAGAGTCAAAAAAAAAAAAAACAATTCAACCGTGGAGCCACAATACAGAGGAAATTTGCATGCATGAGAACCTGCTATATAAAATTCCACCGTCAGTCTTGCTGCAACTTTTAAAGCAAACCAGCTTTTGAAGTCATAATCCAATCACGTGCATAGAAAATCAACAAACTTTAATCAGACCTGGTAAAGATGAGAGTTTAATTTATCATCTTCTTCTTGCCATATTATTTGTGCCCATGATCTCTTGACAATTGTCTAACTAATTAAAATTTGGAAATAACTGAGAGTATGTGTTTTTGGAACTATCAGCTCTTACAATCAGTTGTTAGTAGTTTTTGTTTAAGGAAGGATTGTTAAGGTAAGACTTAACAAGTATAAGATCATGAAAGAATTTTGCCTTGGCCAATTAGTGCGGAGACCACAACTAAGGTTCGTTTGGTATGATGTAGCTTTTGGTATTATTAATCATTTGTTTGGTAGTATTTTATGTATACCTAATACTTGTGCTAGTTATACATCATATTCAGTATTATTTTTATACGTAGCAAATCGTGGAATTAGCAATACCATTTTTAATACATAGATAAGCATATATAAAGATAGAACTACCCTTTGAAAACCTTTTCCAATCCTTCCAAAGAATATGGAGGATATTTTTGTAAAGAAATAAATTTTTTTCAAAAAATTATGCATTTATTCAAGGCAATGAGGAGATTGATGAGGATGTTATTCATCGTATTGGAGTGGGGTGGATGAGATAGAGGCTTGCCTCTGGGGTTTTGTGTGATAAGAATATGCCACCTGGACTGAAGGGCAAGTTCTACAGAATGGTGGTTAGATCGACTATGTTGTATGGGGCTGATTGCTGGCTCGCCAAGAAGTTTTTTGTCCAAAAGATGAAAGTAGCTAAAATGAGGATGTTGAGATGGATGTGCGGGCATACCAGGAAGGACAACATTAGGAATGAAGATATTAGGGACAATGTAGGAGTGACATCTGTGGAGGACAAGTTGCGAGAATCGAGGTTGAGATGGTTCGGGCATATGAAGAGGAGAGACATAGATGCTCCGATCAGGAGGTGTGAGGGGTTATACGTGGCGGGTCTGAGGAAGGGAAGGGTAGACCTAAGAAGTAATTGGGAGCGGTAATTAGGCAGGACATGTCATTGCTTCAGCTTACCGAGGATATGACCCACGATAGGAATGTGTGGAGGTCGAGAATTAAGGTTGTAGGTTGGCTGATAGTAGTGTGTTCCTCCTAGGCTTACCAGTAGTACTAGGACTGTTTTTGTATTATCTTAGTCATAGTTCTTTATTATTACATGTTGTGTCATTCGCTCATTACCATATTATATTGTTGTTACTATTGTTTGCTACTTGGTTGCTTTATCTTAGCTCTACTGTTTCTTGAGCCGAAGGTCTATCAGAAACAACTCATTTATCTTTATAAGGTACGGTTTGGGTCTGCATACACACTACCCTCCCTGAATAACATTTATGAAATTATACTAGGTTGTTGTTATATGTTATTTTTAATACATCAAACCAAAAAATTGACATGAAAACTAATCCCAACATTACTAATACAACATATTCAGTATTATTCTTATACACCCTACCAAATGATCCCTAATTGTAAAACACGAGTGAAGGAATAAGTTGTGCATTCCTACAGGTGTTATTCAGTGGTGGATCCGCCCTTTAGGGTGGAGGTGGTATGATACCCGCTAGATTGGTAAATTTATCATATATTTATGTTGAAAATTTTCTTAAACTAGGTTAAACAATCGATGCTGCCACCCCTAGTTGCAAACTAGACAAAGGTGTCATGGCTAGTATATCTTTTTGAATGCTTTTCTCGTATCTAAAATTCAAGTTCGAATTTATCTTGAACCTTGTCTGACTTTTTCTTTTCGTTGTGCTTTTTATTTCCTTTCCCAGCCATTCTCCTTTTTGGCTACCTCCTAATTTTCTATTTGTCGTTTATTATTTTTTATATTTCTTCCCCTAATCTATTATTTTATCTGTGAACTTTAGCAAGAACACTAAAAAAAGAGCCTCCAAAATTTAAAAATTCCATAAAATAAGCATTTCTCTTAATCTCAAATCTTTTAATTTTTTTCTTTCAAAATCAAAAAATTTGGGTCTTGATTAGAATTTCGGATCGAGATCAAATTTAATAATTTCTTTTTTTATTGTAACATTAAAATTTGTGCTATTCTATGATTCTTAAATGCAATTTAAAATTTCTTTTACGATTAAATTATGATGAATATTTCGCAAATATTGCCTAGAAAAATATGAGATTTATGATTTTAATTTT